TGTATATGTTACGCTGACGCCTTGGACGCGCGTCTAGACCGCTGATGCCAAAATGCTCAAGACACGCTGCATCGACGCCAAATTAACGCCGCGCTGACGCCGAAGACGCTCCGCAAAAACACACAAACTGAACGCTTTGAGGCTTTGGTGTGAACAGCCCTTAAGTTGGTGAATCCAGAAGTGTTCTCTCTTTTTTTTTCCTTCCTCTTTAGACCTTTCTATCTTCATGGAAACCAAATCAGACCAAGTTTCAGGTCAGATCTCTGAAGAGGCGACCCCGCTCACATGAGAATGCTTTTTTTTTTTTTATAAATTTTTTTTGAGCTGTCAAACTACCTGTAATTGAATAAAGAGAAGAGCAGTGACATAGAAACAAGCAAGTGAGAGACCCCCATCCAAAAAGTTGCACCTATCAGTATGTAAATTGTGCGTAACTTGTGGGTGGAATTCTCCGTAGCGTGATGTCATCAATATGTTTTCAATAAGTTTCCACTTCCTGTAGCGGAAAAGTTACACCTTTAGGCATCTTACGGTCTATAAATAAACATATCTCCTGCCTGTCTGCTCCTTGTCCTTCTCTTTGCTCTAACTGTTTGCGACTAACAGATTACTCCCATGGTCCGTGTAAACAGCTCCCGTATCAGGTCGTCGCCATTGTAAACACAACAGTATGCAGACCAGCTTTGATCAGCCTTCAAAGCCCTCCATTGGCAGACTGCATGTAATCGTATTGGACCATATAAACCTCTTCGTTCTAATGGAGAGCTTTAGGAATTTGAGCGATTGGTGATGTGTGTGATGTTGCCAGCTGGGTCCGATCACTCTCCTCACAAGTTGGACAGTTTTTCTTCAAGGAGCTTTTTGATCATTTTTGGACGACTGCAACTGTGTCCGTCAAATGCTTTTCTCCGTGGAGATTTTATTGCATTGTCTGGAATGTTTCACAGTATGGCATTAAACCTGGCTATCTCCATGCAAATCAAACCAGACCAAGTTACAGGTTAGATCTGTGGAGAGTCAGCCCTGCTCATTGTCAGAAGGAGTGTTTTTCTCTGTATTTTTGAGCTATAAAACCAACTGTAATTGAAAAAAAGTATGGTAGAGCTGTTTAATGTCATACTGCGGAACATTCCGAGCAGAGCAATGACATCTCGATACTGCATTTGAATATATGGGCCCGGTCAAGCAGAAGTAAACAGCAAGGCCAAAAATTCAAGTTGATGCATCTGATATAAAAATGTATTGAACAGATACATATGTACTCTAGTTTATGAAACTGTTTAACTTTTTTCTGTACCATTTTTGGTTCTAAAGTTCCATACGTTTTAAACAGACCATGTATGAAACATGGAACAAAAATTATTTCCCAAATTTCAAAGACCTGCAAATCATGTCAATAAATGGATGTATTTCATCATATCTTGTGTTATTCCATCTTTGAACTGTTGATGAAGGCACATGATTTAAAAAAAAAAAAAAAAAGTATTTAAAATGATAAAAATTTGCTTGGAAGGACTGACGTATTTTATAGAAATAATTCCCTTTCATTTTGAAGTAATATTAAAGTATTCAGAAGAAAAAAGTGACAAATGATGTAAAATCCTGCAGCTTCTACTTGTTTGCACAATTTTCCCTCCGTTACTTTTCCCTCCGTTACCATGACCTTTCTTAATAAAAAAATCTCATGACTCAAAAAGTAAGAGGTTTTTTCAACCTAATCTTGTACCATATGGTAGAAAACTATATGAAGCAAATATTCAAACCAGTTTGTTAAGGATATGTAAGTGAGAACCAAGAGTTATCACTGTTTGTATTTATTGCCCAAAAAGTGCTGCATATTTCATTCCCTCCATTACTGACATGAGTTTTTAAATTTTTTGTCAACAACTTGAAAGAATATCACAGGTTTAACTTGACCCTGTTGGAGTGTAACTCTTTCCTACATTCTGATACTTTACTTATTTCAATAGTCCCTCTAGTTTCTGAATAAGAGACATTTGAATGTGAAAAATCTGCCCCTGTTTCCCTCCGTTACCACTTGACCAAACCCATATGTTGGTCTATGGAGTAAGAAAGCTTTCAAAAATATTTGTGCGCATAGAACAGAAGTGCGAACTTGTTGGTCGCTGTTGTAGCTCCTTGTTGTGCTATTACTCTGTTTTTACCCTCTGCTACAAACTTGAGCATGCGCACTCTTGATCTCGATCGATGTTTCTTCTGCTCGATAAATGTCTGTGAAGTGATGACGTATTTTTGACAGTAAAGTCCCGTCTGTGAATTCGTATTCGTACTGATGAAAGCGTAATCGTAAATTTTCATTTCGTAATTGTAATTCTTGACATCGTAACTTTTCATTTCGTATTCTGATCGATAAAATACACACAGTATATTTTATGTACGACTGGACTCATTTGAGAGTTTACAAATATTTATTTTATTTGCAACTACAGGCAAATATGCACGGATTTCCCAAATACGCACGGAGTTCTATTCTTTACACACGAATATTTTTGAAAGCTTTCTTACTCCATATTGGTCATTCTAAACTACCGTATTTTCCGCACCGTAGGGCACGCTCATAAGCCTTCAGCCCCATCAAAAAATGACTGCGCGCCCCAAAATCCAGAGCGCCCTATACATGAATCCACTCAGGTGTCCCAGCACGACTTCAGTAAACTACAAAGCCGCACCACCCGCAGTGCACGCAAACACACACGGAGCAGACAGCGACCGCACAGCGAAAAACACCCACAGCCACACTCATCACTCCACACCGATGAGGAACGGAAAAGCGAGTCCAATGTGCCATTTCTAGCCACAACTGAACAACTGAGTCACTGCGAACACGCCAACAATCCAGCGGTCCCAGACAGCACCCTCCCTACACGCCACAACTGAACAAAGATGAGAGTCACCGTGAACGCCCCAAACAAAGTCTCACTGACCCATCCAACTGGTGGGTTTCGTTTAATGTCTGGTGAGGTTTATTTGTGAAAAAAGTTTGAAAATAGATCATTCAATGACAGTGCGCCTTATAATGCAGAGCACCTAATAACCCGGAAAATACGGTACTGCCTCTGCTCAATTTAATTTCTTTCCAGCGACTAGGTCAGGAATCAAAATACAATAGACGGTTCGCAAAAACCCCAGAAGTGCAAGTTTGGGCACCAGCCAATCAGCGAAGAGCCATATATTCAGTGTTGCCAACGATTGATTACCGAGATAGAGGATTTTATTTGTGAAAAAAGTTTGAAACTAGACCGTTCTATGACAGTGCGCGTTATAATCCAGAGCGCCCTATAGTGCGGAAAATACGGTAATAGATAAATAAAGCAGATCTAATATGCAAAATTGACCATGTTATATTTGTTTCCCCTCACCATTTACTCACCCAAAGTTATAGTTGGAGTAATTTCTTTAACAAACCTGGTCCAATTATAAGCATCACATTGCAAACATTTCTTACTGGCATTGCTCCTCAAGGATATGTTGCTTATATTTCAAAGGCTTGTGCAGGGAGGACCAGTGACAGATGACAGTGTAGCATCTTGAACACTGTTACCTGGAGATATTGTGCCTGCACCTCTTTATTGTTGAAGACAGTACTGTGCTTCTTTAAAGACACCTTAAAACAGACCCCCTCACAAATCAAATCAAAGCCCACTTTATTGTTGTCTGGGTTCTTAACGCCATCTGTGAAAATGTGAGTGACCCCGTTCCACTCACTCCTGAGGTGAAGTATAAGATCTGAAACATGAATCATGACGTCGTGTTGTTTTCATGGCCTGTGCTCACTGACATTCATGCCAGTGTGCCAGTTTTCCTGAATACTGACCTACCCTGCCCACCACGTGACATCAGAGCGTGCAGTTATGACCAATCAGTGCGCTGGCTGCTAGAGCAGAGCTAGAATGGACTTAGAGCGGGGTTAGGCTAAGCCTTAACAAAGCTAACTTTTAGGCCAGGGGTCTCCAACCTTTTTCCTCCGGGGAGCTACTTTTAAAAATCAAAAATGCCAGACAGCTACTACTTTTAGCGGTCACAAGAAACTGAGCATATATGAGAGTCACGACAAGCCTTAGACGAGGTACAGTTAGATGCCATTCCATTCCATTTTCTTCCGCTTATCCGGGGCCGGGTCGCGGGGGCATCAGTCTGAGCAGGGTCTCCCAGACTTCTCTCTCCACACACACACACACACACACACACACGCGCACACATACACACACACACACACACGCACACGCACACACACACACACACACACACACAGTTAGATGCCTATAAAACATAAACCATTATCCATTTATTAGTGCACAAAGTTAGGCATCAAAATGATACACGTACAATGGTAAAAGGCATTTAATTAATCAAATTTTACTTAATGAGCTCATTATGTATGTGTGCATGTAATTCAGAAATACCTTGGCTAGTTACTTGGATGGAGGTGGAGAGCTACTGGTAGCTCCCGAGGTTGGAGACCCCTGTTTAAGGCACTTTCACAATTTAAAACATTCTAAAACATTCATCCCTACAAAATCTGACCTGTCAGTCAAACACAGGTAGCTTGAATTCCTGAATAATACACTGTGTTCAATAGCAATTGCTCTCTGGGACTCTGTTTTTCCGGAGCTCCTGGGAGCTGCAGTACCTGGAACAGCCACTAGTCGATCTGCTGTGGGACAGAGGGAGGGTCTTAAACTCCAGTTCTTATTAGATAGATCCATGGTGAATAGAATTTCCCTTGAAGCCTTTCTTGGCTAGATGCAATATTGACAGATGAACATCAGACTTATACTAAAGGCAAAGTGGAGTTTGAGGCCAGAGTGCAGCACAATCTCCTCATTTTGAAAAGAAAGTTCCTGAATATCACTTTAACACAATAAAAAAATATATATTTCTGTTGAGCCTGTGTGTGACCTGAAATAACTCCAAAACACACTTCCTGTTTCATGCGTAAGAGTTACGTGAGCAAGTGGAAAGAGTCAAGTGGGGTGGACTTTCGTTTCTCACAGCAGTCTGAATAAGGTTTGGGTTAGAGACGTTTATGTAGCCAGAACTGTGAGGAATCTCTACATCAAGGTGTTCCAATGAGTCCTGGTGTCAGGTCTGTGTGTGGATTTACCCTCCTGGTCTGGATGAGTATGGTTCAGTTTGATTGTGGCTATGGACAGTCAGGGAAAAGTGTGCTCCAGAGAGAGGCAGAGTATAATGTGATGTACAAAGACACTGTTACAAGTAAAAATCAGACCATCTATGCTTTCAACTGCATAGTCTCCAACACTGAGGTAAGATACAAGACTTTTAAAAATATATTATACAACAGTGCAAATTCTTAGAAGACAGGAATGCTACTTAGATGTGCAGAGATTATGCAAAATTGTCCTTATGGTGCTTTTCTGGCTTTTAAAAAGGGGGTCTGCCGCCTATTCCAACATCCCTCCATTATGATATGCTTCTATTTAAACGTGCCAGTTTTCTGACAATTTTTGTAATCGCTATTCCAACATGTCATTTTTTTAACCTGTACATATTCAGGCTGCTGTCGGTGGCCGTAACTAGAGCCCGACCGATATATCGGTTGGCCGATATGGGCACCTGGAGACATCAGATATCAGCCGATATGTTTGCTGATATTGGCCGATATTTCACGTGGTCATGTTATACCTCATTATAAAGTTTAGACTTTCTACATTATGTTTATTTAATCCAATTTGCAGACAGATAAATGTCCTAATATGTGTCTCCGCATCAGTATTTTTCTGCGGAGTCATTTGTCTGTCAGGTCACTCACGTCAGGTCACTCACGTCAGGTCACTTACGTCAGGTCACTCATGTCAGGTCACTTACGTCAGGTCACTCACGCCAGGTCACTCACGTGTTCTTGTTTACACCCGCAGACGTGCACGTGCACGTTATTTTCTTTTTACGGACAATTGGTTTGAGTCTGGATTAAAAGGACATTTATTAGTGCAGACTTGTGATGTGAGGAGGAGCCTGTGTGAGCGGTGAGTGTTGGAAATATGTCGACTTTGATGCTAGTTTTGGTCATTTGTTATGGGTTAGCTGCTGTAGCTCCAGCACATAAACAGGCTGTTTTCTATTGGCCTATAGTAAAGTGACTATATTGGCCGTATCTTTGTTACTGGACCTGCACTGATATGCAAATGAGCTGTGAATAGACGTGTGAATTATGACATTTGCGCATATTATTAATTATTATAGAAAAACGTGCATGTTTGACTGTAGTTCAGCATAAAATAAATAAACCAGGACTAATCTTGAGCTCGAGAGACGGAGAGAGATAGAAACTGAGTCCTGACACTCAGTCCTGGTTTAGTTCTGGTTCAGTTCTGGTTTAGCCAGCTGCTTTTAGTGAGCTGAGCCAAAAGAGCCGGTTCTCTAAAAAGAACTGGAATACCCATCACTAGTAGCTAGAATGTGATGCAAAAATGCCATTAGGCCAATCTACTGTCTGTAAATATGATGTAAAGAGGCAGAATAACAATAAATGTTGCTTAAATAAACCCAATTTAAAATCCACTAGAGCCAAACCTAAGTTTTTTTTAAACTATTCAAGATTTACAGTGAATTTTTACATCATGTGGGCTTCTACCCTGTGTTTTTAAAGTTTCATTCATATGTTAATACGCCCTGTACTGAATCTCTGTGTTCCTTGACATGCTGTGTATGTTTTTGGACTTTGGAGTGTCAATGGGGTTGGGATATGATGTCATATGGACTGTGAATGTATATGCATATACCAGTCTGTTATGGGACACGTGTTGGGACAAAACTGCTGTGTATGTTTCCATGAAGATGTTAACTCAACAGTTATGCTGGTATAAAAGGCAAAATCATGCTGAATCAACTTGAATCTTGAGACCTGAATCTGCCTGAACTAATAAAGAGACATGTCTGAGAATTTTTCTAACTCTCCAAGTCTCTTTCTTAAGATCCTCTGTTTAGGCTGCCTCCAGGAGAAGCTGACAGTCACTAAATATATCGGTGATTATATCGGCTATCGGCAGCTCCAACTCCCATTTTATTGGTTTCATATCGGCCACAACAAAATCCATATCGGTCGGGCCCTAGTTGTAACAGTTTTTGGTATCACTATTCCGACATGTAATTTTTTTTATTTTTTATCTGTGTATATTCAGGCTGCTGTTTATGGTGCTAAAAGACATTTTTGTTTTAAATGGAGAAGTGTATCAAGTTCAAAACTTCAAAGAATCAAAATTGTGTTTCTCACTCTCAACCGTATAAATAAATAAAAATAAATGGAAAAGTCCAAGTGTTCTTCTTTGGGGAGACACAGATTCGTAGCTTCCTGGCACTTGGTGGTTAGGGAGGAGAGAGAGTTCAGCATCCTAACAGCCTAGTGGATGAAGCTGTTAGTGAGTCTGGTGGTGCGAGAATGGAGGCTCATGTACTTCCTCCCGAAGGAGGCTGAAAAGATTGTCTGACTTGCATCACTGACAATGGCAAGTGAGGCGGGTGGTGTATATGCGGGTGAGGCGGGTGGTGTATATGCGGGTGAGGCGGGTGGTGTATATGCGGGTGAGGCGGGTGGTGTATATGCGGGTGAGGCGGGTGGTGTATATGCGGGTGAGGCGGGTGGTGTATATGCGGGTGAGGCGGGTGGTGTATATGCGGGTGGTGTATATGCGGGTGAGGCGGGTGGTGTATTGCGGGTGAGGCGGGTGGTGTATATGCGGGTGAGGCGGGTGGTGTATATGCGGGTGAGGCGGGTGGTGCGGGTGAGGCGGGTGTGTATTTGCGGGTGAGGCGGTGGTGTATATGCGGGTGAGGCGGGTGGTGTATATGCGGGTGAGGCGGGTGGTGTTATTTGCGGGTGAGGCGGGTGGTGTATTTGCGGGTGAGGCGGGTGGTGTATTTGCGGGTGAGGCGGGTGGTGTATATGCGGGTGAGGCGGGTGGTGTATTTGCGGGTGAGGCGGGTGGTGTATATGCGGGTGAGGCGGGTGGTGTATTGCGGGTGAGGCGGGTGGTGTATTTGCGGGTGAGGCGGGTGGTGTATTTGCGGGTGAGGCGGGTGGTGTATATGCGGGCGAAGTGAGGAGAAACACTGAATTATAAGATAAACTGCTCTTGTGGATGTTGTGTTCACAGACGCGGGCAGTCCGAGTGGCTGTGGAGGCGCTCTCACACAGGCCCATTCAGTTTGTGCTCCGTCAGAAACACTCTGTCCTGTCCTTCCAAGTGCCTCTGATTATAAGAGACTCGTGAGTACATCTGATCCGGACAGTTTTTAAAACAGACCTATCTCAAGGTTGAACAATATCAGAAATGATTTCAGTATATACAGTATTGTGATATCAAGTTTTTGAAATATTTTTAATATACAAAAAAAAAAGACTTCTACGGTAATGAAAAATCAAATAAACGTGAGGAAGGCAGATTTAAGTAGCACTACATCACTGTTCCAATATTTATTAATATACTTCTTAACATAATCATTTCAGTTACATAAAAACTGAAATGTAAATATACAAGTCAGACTGTTTAAAAATAAAAGCTTAAAAAGAAATAAACCTGAGACTAATAAAAACTTAAGTGGGAAAATAAATAATAAAATTTGCCATTTTTTTTGTTTTAAAAGTGTATAAAAGTCTAATTAACATAATATGCCCCCCTTAAAGTGTTCTAATTGTTTATTTATACTGTCAGAAATGAAAGGATATTCAAGTACCGTTCCATGGAGAGGACGCTGTGTCCCCCTGACCCTCTGCAGGTCTCAGGGCAGGACTCTCTGTTTGTGGATGTGTGGACTTCAGGGAGTGACAGCTCACAGTACCAGCTCAGGGTCAGCCATGTGGACAACTTCACTCTGGAGTGAGTATCAAACATGCTGCTACACTAACTACTGTCATAGTATTCAAGACGAGGTCCTTATTTATGATCTGTACTTTACTGAATGAAACTAAGAGCCTGGGCTCTTGTTTTTGAGAAAGCTTCTACAATCACAGTGGAGCCTGCATCACCAGTGCCTCATGTGAAACCTCCAGATCTCACTACCTGAGATGCAGAGGCTGCACTAGCACTGACTCATGACTGGCTGCAGGAGCTGGGATTCAGGTAGTATAGTTTTTTTTTGTTAGGTTTGAACAAACTGGATTTTAGCAGTGAAACTGGAAAACCAAATGAGAAACAACATGGCCTCCATGTCCAATGTTTGTTTAATTAAAAATAAATGAGGATTACATGCACTCTGATCTGACTGGTCACTGCTGGTCCCCAGCACCTGCTGCCAGCCATGAGTCAGTGCTAATGCAGCCTCTGCAGCTCAGGGAGCGAATTCTGGAGATTCTGCTCTTTCACATGAGGTCAGTCCATGCATATGTAGACCCTGCTGACCCAGGTTCAGTTGTGACTGTAATAACACAGGAACTAAACAGTGATGCCTTCATCACTGCTGATACTTGCACTTATTTCTTCTTCTGTTCAACAATGTGTGTGTACCAAGAATAGTTCCCACTTTGTGATGAATAAAAGTCATGATTCTGACTGTAAAAACATTACACACACACACACAGGCAGGCATGCACACACACACACACGCAGTGACAATGTTATTACAGATTTGTTTTATTCATCAGGACAGACAAGAAGTTCAACTTCAGAGCGTCTCCTACTCAGCCTCAGGTAAACAATGAAAGTTCCTCTCACTCCTGTAAAGCAGGTGTCCTGTTTATCCATCCAGGTGCAAAAGTGTACCCTGTCATTTCTTGGTCAAGAATTTGGGAAATTACATAACTTCAAAAATGTCACAATCATGTCAGTTTTTGTTTTTAGATTCATACAGAGATCTAATTTTTCGTTCTATTTTCTGGTTTTCCAGTTTTTCAAGTATGATTATCCTGAGGGAGTGGACCGTGTTACTGTCAAAGTCACCTCTCAAACCAAGTTTCCCTGTGCCGTCCTGTCCATTCAAGACATACAGGTAAAGCCTTTATCAGCCCTCTTTTGACACCGTTGAAAAATGCTCATTTTACACTGTGTCAACATCTTAACACCACAAGAGGGAATGGACAGGCCATTTTTTTAAATCGCTAACTGCCTATTGCTGCTTAGGTTTTGAAATCTGACAAGTTCATGCTTTGACAAGCTTTTGTGGCCACAAGTACAAGAAAACATAAACATAAGTTTAGTAATTGAGAAAAAAATTTGACTTTTTTGAGCTTTTAACTGTGTTAAAATATTGGGCCTCATTCATGAAGTGTGTAATTATGGCCTTCTTACGAACATTTCTGGCATTCAAAAAATGTTCTTCTGGAAGAACAAACCCTATGAACAGTGAGGAGCACTCGTAAGAACAAAGACTATCAGTGAGGCTCAGTCTGTCCCAGCCCCACTGCTCCCCATATGGACCGATGTCACAGCCCCAGTGCTCCCCGTATGGACCGATGTCACAGCCCCAGTGCTCCCCGTATGGACCGATGTCACAGCCCCAGTGCTCCCCGTATGGACCGATGTCACAGCCCCAGTGCTCCCCGTATGGACCGATGTCACAGCCCCAGTGCTCCCTGTATGGACCGATGTCACAGCCCCTGCCTCAGTGAACTCATTCTTAGGCCAGAGTTCTGCAGTCAAGTGTTTTTTCCAAATGTCGACATTATTCTAAGTTAGAAATTGTGAAAACTATTCCCCAGGTGACCAAAAGCATGTTTAAAATGCTTAAATCTTTGTGTTTTATTTCCAGTGCCCTGTGTATGACCTTGACAGTAATGTGGACTTCCTTGGGATGTATCAGACTATTACCACATTGGGCGCCATCACAGTTAAGGTACGAAAAGTCACTGTACAAATCATTTGCTTTCATATTGAGTCTTACTTGGGCAAAGGTGATGTACAATATAATACTGGAACATTTTAAACATTTAATTAGTCAAATGTGAAATGCAGTGGTGACCCAGTTCTAGAAGTCCACACTGTTCCATGCTGCCTGTCTTTCTATATCATTAAACGTCACATATTATGTAAATTTGTCTTTTCCCAGCAATTTTACCCAGATTGTCATAGGTCAAGTTCCAGAGTTCTCCTGTGCTGTTTTTGAGTCCATAAACTGTTGCTTGTTTTGAGCATTTTTGTTGTCAAGCTGCGTTCATTTCAACCGTGGGCTTACATTTATCTCAAGTTGCTTTTCTATATGTGCAGTGTTGGGAAGGTTACTTTTAAAATGTATTCCCCTACAGATTACAGATTACACACCCCAAAATGTAGTTTGTAATGTAATCCATTAAATTACTTAAAGTGAGTAACGTAATCTGAATACTTTGGATTACTTGATATTGTCATGCTTTTTACAACTGCATGAATATACCAACTACATCCTGAAAATTCATGTTTGTTCTCTTCAAACTGGCTGTTGAGCCCAAGTCTCCATGAACAGACATTTGTTTGCTATAGAGAAGCAAAGACTAGGATCTTAACATAAGATCTTTTGTCCACTAAAAGACAATAAAAAGCCCAGTCTTTCCTTAACCAGATTAAAAATATTATTGATAGAGAAATGTCCACCCTACTGTTAGGTGTCATACTGTTTATTTAAAAAAAAATTTAACTCAAAATGATGTAGAATCATTTTATTAACAACCTCATCCACTGTGTAACTGACACCACCAGCGTTAACAAGACGTGTACGTTGCGCACGTTCTGTTTGGATTTCCAGCAATGGGTGAAATTACTGAAATAAAATAATTTAAAAAATGGGATATAGTCCAAAATGTGAAAACAGGAAAATACCGCCATGTAATCCATTTATTTCAACAAAGTAACTGTAATCCAATTACCACTCACTGAAACAGTAACTGTAACTGAATACAGTTAATAATTTGTACTCTGATTACGTAACTCTGGTACATGTAATCTGTTACTCCACAACACTGTATATGACTGGATGAGGAAGGTGAAGGGGACGATGAGATGACACCAAAATCAAGTCTGACTTGAAAATGTGATGTGTGTTGTTCCAGCGTGCGGACTTCCACAATGACAGTTTCTATGTGGTGGTGGTGGTCAACCCTGAGGACGAAGCCTGTGGAGGTCTTCCAAACTCCTCCATGACAGACACATTTAGAGACACTACAGAACAAACCAAGAGCCTGGAAGTTGTAGTGTCTCCTTCTGTGACATTTAAAGCAACATCTAAAGGTGCTGTACTTGTCTTAAGAACGTGAAAAACATAACGAGTTCATTTTTAACAGTTTGCAGTTTGTCCAAAGTTTTTTTTCCTCATTTACCTGATGATCCAAGCATCCTAATTACTCACCGTGGTGAGTTTATGAGCACTTTTCACAGCTTTCAGAGACCGGAGTTTTGCAGTGATGGTAAAGCTGAGAACAAAACTGGCATGCTAACAGTGTACCTACTGATTATCTTACAATAAAAATGCTTTCTTATTAGATGAGGACAGCACACTGCAAACATAATTTGACCTCATTCTTGCGAGCATTACTGTGATGGCCTCTGTAAATTATGAAAATCAGTTCTGAACTCATTGCGGTGAATAATTTGGATGTGTGGAATCCATAAGGTAGGTGAGAAATAACTTTGGACCAAGGGTGCAGTGGGATATAAAGAAATATAAAATAGCTACAACTTAAATGTCAAACTGGAACTACTGGCAATAGTCAAATCAACCTGCATAGGCTCATGAAATCTGCACTACTGTTCTATAGTGCAACATGAGGGACCAGGACTGAACCAGGTCTAAACCAGGACTGAACCAGGACTAAAACAGGACTAAACTGAACTGAACCAAGACTAAGTGTTGGGACGGGCCCGGGCACCCACGTAGACCGTCTGGTGACCGCAGGACAAAGGACCGGCACAGAGCACTGCGCACTATGGGGATAAGTGCAGCCGTCGCCTGATCGCGCTTTGCGGACACCCTGCTCCACGGGCTCGGGGTTCTCTCTCTCGCTCTCAAGTCCAAGATTAGTCCTGGTTTAGACCTGGTTCAGTCCTGGTTTAGACCTGATTGAGTCCTGGTGTAGTCCTGGTTTTGACCTGGTTTAGTGTTGGTTCAGTCCTGGTTTAGTCCTGTTTAAGTCCTGGTTTAATCCTGGTTTAGACCTGGTTTAGTCCAGGTTTAGTCCTGGTTTAGACTTGGTTCAGTCCTGCTTCAGTTCTGGTTTAGTCCTGGTTTAGACCTGGTTTAGTGTGGTTCAGTTCTGGTTTAGTCCTGGTTTAGACCTGGTTTCGTTCTGTTTTTGTCCTGGTTCAGTCCTGATTTAGTCCTGGTTCAGTCCTGTTTTAGTCCTGGTTCAGTCCTGGTTTAGTTCTGTTTTAGTTCTGGTTCAGTCCTGGTTTAGATCTTGTTTAATCCTGGTTTAGACCTTGTTTAGTCCTGTTTTAGTCCTGGTTCATATGCTGTAGCCTGTGGTTTATTATCTGTAGGTGATTATGAATGGCATTAATGTTAATAACATGATTCTGCATCTGAACCTCTGTCACTGAGCTTTATTTTAACACAACCTCACCATAAAGAACTAATTTAACATTACAATCACAAGCATGCTAGCAAATCCATTTTGTATTTTCCTTGAGTTTTCAGACAATCTAAAAGCTTATCTGGCTGTGTTTGTCAGGTCAGGTAAGGTCCTATATTACAGAAAATTGACTCTTCTGAGCTTTTAGTCATGTTAGAATGTTGTTACCTCCTCAAAAACAGACCTGGAGTTGTGTTTTGTTTTATTCACACATTCGAGTGGTCCTGGTCTTAGTCTGTCTGCATCTCCAAACCTCAAAATACTCTTCCACCTTGTGATGTCACGTAGTTGTAGTTTTCAAGTTCACAACTATCTTTTACCTTTTGTTCAGTTGGCAATTACAAGGTTGAAATTATTCAAATGATTCTACCGAAAGTGTATGGAGTTTGAAAACACAGTGGAACATTTCTTCTATTACCATATGACATCACAAGGTGGAACAGAGTGTTTTCTGAGAGAAGAAGAACCCAACCTTCATATCCAATCCACTGTATTTCTTCAGCACATTTCACAAACCAAAGTTTCCAAAGTGCTGCACAAATACATAATAACGGCAATAATCATAAAATGTCTTAAATAGTCTTAAACCAGTAAAATAAAATAAGAGTAAAACCATAGAATAACAATAAATAAATAAAACCAATACATTAAAAAATAAACAAAAAAGACAGAGGACCACACAACTCACGCAGTGTTAAAGTCCAGAGAATAAAAATGGGTCTTAAGGTGAGACTTAAAATTTTCCACTGTGGGTGGTTGTTGGGACGTTGTTGGGCAGAGCTTTCCAGAGTTTGGGGCCGGTCACAGAGAAGGCCCTGTCCCCCCGGTTTTAAAGGGCCCATCTCATGCAACATAACTCTTTTCACTTTGTATCTTCTGCACATAAACAAGCACAATTTGGGTTTTGGAACATCACAACACAATAGTTATGAAATGTTACTGATTTCTTGGAGGCGTCACAGACCAGGAACTATGAAAGGCTCATCCCCCCGCCCGTCCTGAGAAAGCAGGATGGAGGGGGAGACAAACGTGCATCCTGATAGTGGTAGGAATAAACTTTTATTTGTCATGGAGAAACAGCGCATTCAGCCGCATGTGTTGGACCCGGAATCGGACGAGGACTTGGAGGAGCACGAAGCTCAAACACCGCGTCAGCATCAGCTGAACATTACTGATTGTTGAAGTATTAATAAATGCTAATAGATTAACTAACACCTTGCTTCTTCCGTTGCTGTGCCAAATAATTTCTACTTGCCATCGCAGCCAAATATGCACATTCTCCATGAGGACATGGTTACAAAAAGCGTGTCTGAAGCAAAAAATAAAGATAAATAACGCAGAACAGCAGTCCTGCACAGTGCAGATGCAGGAGAGGTGGTGGAGCGGGGGAGGGGGGGCAGGTTAGAAGCACTTTCTGCTACGTCAGATGCGTCATAGGTGTATCTGCCACGTCATTGTTGTAGCAGCTTTAATTCGTTGTCACGTGGGAGCGTGGCAAAAATACCAAAAAAAAAAAGCTAAATCAATCTAAAAACCACTTCAGCGACATATATAAGGCCCACACATCACTCTTAGAAGGTAGAAAGCTCTGAAAAGTTGATTTTGCATGAGATGGGCCCTTTAAGTCTTGTCTTAGGCCCTATCCACACTAGTACGCATTTGAGTAATTTTCGTTGTGGACACAGTGTTTGTCCACACTAATCCGATGAAAAATGGCTCCAGAGATGGAACTATTTGGTGCCGCCAGCTCCAATAGACAAACGGGAAACAGCATAGCTAGAACTACTGGCACAGAACAGACTCACCATTAGCAGAACACCCCTCTGACACAGAAAGAACACTTATATTCCACTGAGTCGTGTCCTTTTTAACTCTGACAGAAGCTGAACCGCATCAGTGCACAACAGGAGCTGTTTTTTGAGCGCTTAGTTTATGCAAATTAGCCATGGGGTTTTAAGTTTCATTTCTGTAAAACGTAAACAAATGTGCTCACAGCTGTGTAGATAGGGAAGGATTGCAGACACAGAAACGACGTGTCTGGGCACAAATCATTTCTGATACTTTGATTTGTTTCAGTGCATGCAGGGGAGTAAATCTGGATGAGGTTTGAGACGTACTATGGGGCCTAAATAAATTCTGAAATGAACAGGACACCAGTGCAAAGATGCAAGGATGTGGTTATGTGCCCACTTCATTTGGTTCCTGTTTAAAGTCGTGTCAAAGAGTTTTGAACTAACTGTACTCGGTAAAGTGTGTTTTGTGAGATGCCGTAATAAAGTGTGCTACTGTCGTCCAAATGATAAATGATAAAATAACAGCGTGTATGACTTATTCAAAAAGTTTAAAAGAAAAAAAAAGCTGCAAAATGATAAAATCTTGAAGCCACTGATCTGCTTGTCAAACAAAACACAACTCCAGGACTGTTTGTGATGAGGAAACAACATTAGAACAGAAAATGACGTAATATTGGCCCTTTACCATGGTAACATTCCTCCACTGACATACAGTACCTGCCGTTTTTATTTATAGTATTGACATGAGTGTATGTTTGTCTCTTTCACAGATGTATTTCCACTTCTGATGGGCAGCATTCTGGTTTTTGTCAGCATAACTCTGGCCTTTCTGGTCTGTCCTACAAGCAGTACGTTTTACCATTTTTTGTGCTCATTTATCACATACAGAAACACATGAAGTGACTAAACTACTAAACTAAAAAACTCATTGGATGCAGCTGGAAATTGAGACCTTAAATAATTATAAAAATAATAATTAGACCCTTAGATCCTTAGACTCTTGCCTTAGATTTTGTACAAACAAGGTCAAAATAGATTGATTGATTGATTGCATTTATATAGCACCTTTCAAGATCCCCAAAGTGCTTTACAGTTCATTATTCAGTCACTCCACACTCAGCGGTGGTAAACTACTATTGTAGCCACAGCTGCCCTGGGGCAGACTGACGGAAGCGAGGCTGCCAATCTGCGCCATCGGCCCCTACGACCACCACCATCACTCACGCTCACACCTCTTTCATACTAGGCAATGTGGGTGAAGTGTCTTGCCTAAGGACACAACAACAGTTTTTTTTTTGCCACTGGCACATGCACTGTAACTTTTCTGGTGAAGGGTCTGTCACCTGCTTGTCTCTGTGTGATTGTTTCACCTGTAAGGTTCCACTGTGTGGCATTAAAGTATGATAAGTATTTAGCACACATGCTGACATGTGCACTTTAAACATTATCAGTCAAAGGGATTAGAACAGATTTCCTCTGACAAACAGACTTCCTCTGACAATAACAGAAAGTCCATCACAATGCAGACACACTTTAACCCCAGTGAAATGTCATACTGTGGAATATTCTAGGCACTTTATAACCATTTCCTTGTTTAGTTTACTTGCTGATCTTTATTTTTTTTACAGAACAAGATGAAAGAAGAAGAGAGACTGAGCATGAAGAAACATATGTATGAACCAACAATTTATATGATAAAACTCTGAAATCATTCAGTGCACTCGTGTAAGGTGTCAGGATAGTCGGTTTAAAATAAACAGCTGTAGCTGCAGTGAGCAATGAATGAAAAAATAGGGTGTTCTAATGTTACAACTGTAAGTTATTTTTTTGTTTCTCTTTTCAGAGGAGCCCCCAGCCTGAGCCTGAGCCTGAGCCTGAGCCTGAGCCTGAGCCTGAGCCTGAGAACATGGAGCCTATGGTAAGAAGTTGAAGAGAACATTTGGTACTTTTAGTCTATACTTTTTCATTGATTTATGTCACACTCAAGACAAAAAAAAAAAAAAAACTATCGAAATTCGCATTGCAAATCATAACTAACTTGTAGCACTCAGACCTGAGTTCTACACATTATCACAACTGTTAGATGCTGGCGTCTATTCTTCTGTGGGTTCTGTGGGTGTGAGCTCTTGCTCATTCTCGTAGCGCACACGCCTCGCCCGCTGCCTTTGCGCTCTGGCTGTGCACCAGGGCCACATCCTTTTGTTCTCTTTGGCCGGCTCACCAGGTCTTTCTGTTGTTTCTCTGTTTTTGGGCACAGGAGGGGTTTTAGGGTTTTTAAAGAAAATGAAACCAGACTTTTGACTCCTGTGTCCTCTCTGATATGTTGGATCCACCCGGTGTCATAACAACCAACTTTAGTTTGGCCCTACAGCCAACTGAGAGAAAAGCACAGGTGTCTTCCCTGTCCACAAATGCACAAAGCTCTTCTCTCTGCATATTTCCACAAACACAATAGTCTGTATTGACGCTAAAATAGGCTGAAGTACCTCTGTCAGCGGCAATTCGTTTGAGCACTACACCTTTGGTTTCTGCAAAAACCTTATTTATTGCATTCATTATTATTATTATTGTTATAGATAACTTTATTATTAATATGCATGACTTTTTGTGTGTGAGGATTTATCGTTTGTATTTTCTTTGTAGAGAGAGTCTGATGCGGCTCAGAATGATCAGGAGGTTCTGAAAGATGATGCTGTTTATCTTTGGTAAGAGTCTGACCAGAGACGTAAAACTATTTTCAATGATGTGAAAAGCATTCAAGTGCAATGACAAACATATTCTTTGTGTTTTAGGAACATTGCCACTATAGCTGCCTTCTATGCTTTGCCTGTGATTCAGCTGGTCTTAATTTATCATACGGTAATGATTTTTAAATCTTATTTTTGACAAATTCATCACAATGTACTGTCACAATACAAACATTTCAAACGTTATTTCAGTATTAAGGAATAGACTTCATCCTCAATATGGATTCTGATATCACAATGATAATAAAAAACACTTTCTTTCGACAACTGAATGTAATTTTCAGTATTAATAATAGAACTTTCTTTTCTATTCCCACGTGGTCTTATATCTATGTAATCCTTCAGAGGTCCAGAAGGTTCCATAGTGGTCTATAGGTGTATTGTAGTCTATGTGTTCTGATACAGCTCAAGATCATTCTAAAGGCCCGTTCAGACCGGAGCGTCAAGGCGTCCAGTTTATATGCCAAGTCTATGTGGATGCACGTCTAGGGAGTCCTGCGTTTTTTTGGGTGTGTCTTCAGGCATCAGCGCAGAGCGAATCTGACGTCTATCGGCGTCAGAAGTTGAAAATGCTGAGAGGGAGTCACAAACATTAGTATAAATATATATGCCACAATCACCGAGCCGATCACCAGGACTACACTAGGACCGAACCAGGACTAGACCAGGACTAGAACAGGACTGGACCAGGACCGGACCAGGACCGGACCAGGACTAGACCAGGACTAGACCAGGACTAGACCAGGACTAGACCATGGCTGAAGTAGCCGATCGCCACACTGAGTTTTTATGTAATAAAAACACTAAAGTCTCTCTCAGTCTGGTCTACCATCATTCCGGGAAAAAATGGATGTGCGAAGTATTTTTCTCCCTTTTGTCCACGGCGTCCAAGTCTAAACTCCAATGCACAGGCGTCCAAATAGAGGCATCTAGGGCATTTTTGACGCTGCGGTCTGAATGGACCATAAAGCTATTCAGCAAAGGTTCATTTCTGTCTTGTGAGTGTCTTTTTGAGTATGATGACCTGCTCAAATCAGTATCTAGTTCTGATAGTAGTTTTAGTATTGATTTGCGTCAGATTTTTGGTACATTTGACAACCCTACAATGTACAGAATGATCCTGTCATTAACTATTTAAGTAACACTTTGAAAACACATCAGATCTCAATGTGAAAAAATATGTTGGATATCTATACAAATATTGACATTGTTGCCACTCTACTGCTCCTGTCGTTCATTTCCATTAAAAACGGTTGCATCCTTTTGTTCCTAATAGAGATGTGTGGATTGCGGTTACAGCCGCGGTGCCCATGGCTAAACATCACGTCCATGACGTGACGAAAAATGATATTTTAATTGAATTCGGGCGGGCTGCGGTTTAACTACTCAAATTAAAATATATATATATAAACGGATGAGTTTTGTGTCGCGGTTGCAGATGAAAAAATAGCTCCTCCGCGCATCTCTAGTTCCTAAAACATTGCCCTGTCCAGATTCGTATAGAGATCCTGCATAAGTTTTTCCACACTGAGATCTGATGTGTTTTCAAAGTGTTCCTTTAATGTTTTCAGCAGTGTAACTTGTTATTTTAGATTGCTGATGTGACAGGAAACCAAGACATCTGCTACTACAACTTCCTGTGCGCTCATTCAGTGGGAGGTCTGAGGTGAGGAACGTCAAAGGAAACTGTACCAGCTTTTGAAAAACAGCACTACTTTATGGTTCTCATTTTGACGTAAAGGTGCACTGCGGAACATTTTGGTGAAGGGTCCGCCACCTGCTTACATCCAGATTAAACCCATCTATCATGAGGGAGAGGGAGATCTGTGGAGAGTCGTCACTATTCACTGAAGGAATGATTGTATTTTTGAGCAATAGAAACACCAGTAATGAATAAATGTTAAATGTATATGTGTAAAGTCATACCATGGAACATTCTTGGCAAAGCAATGACCTCTTCATGGTGACAAGCACGTGGCGGACTCTCCACTAGAAATGTTACGCAGTGCCCCTTTAATTTGGCGGGGTAAAACCATTTGTAAAAACAGATTATAGTTTTACACCAATCAAGAAGCAATTTGTGAAGAAAAGGTGAAAAATCTGTTGAAAATTAGTAGAGAGTAGAGAGTTCTATTTTAGAGAGTATATATTAGTATTGTAGTGTACGGAAGACCTCACAATGTACACGTGACTAACATTATTTTAATAAAATAAAGGTGTTTTCATGGCTGGTGAACTCAGGTGTTGCCTTGTGAGTGCAGTTTGGGTCAGATACTTTTGCCACGCCTCCTTTTTAGTCGACTAACTACAGCCCTGAAAATGTGTGACAAGCAGTAATGAGTGCATATTTTCACTTCTCAGCTCTTTCAACAATATCCTGAGTAATGTGGGCTATGTGCTGTTGGGTTTGGTCTTCCTCATTACTGTGTTCATCAAACATTTGAAGCACAAGCGAGCTCTGGCCCACAACGATACCAACGCTTTGGTAAGAACACATCTGAAGCTTCACTTTTACTGTCAAAAGTATGATTTTCTCATTTTAAAGGGATATTGGTACTTTGCAGCTGATGTCATCAACATTTCCTGGGGGCAGGGGGCAAGCAGATAAATTAGGAGCATTGCCATCAGTGACGTCTGGTCAGTAGAGGGCCTAACTTGACCTAGATAAAAAAATAAAAAGTTATTTTGTATTAGGCTATATGTTTCATATTTTGTTTAAAATTGAACGTGTATCTGGGTAGACATATTTTTATCATGTCAAATGTGCTCATATCACTTTATTTGAGACAAAATAAAATACATTTTTGGAATAACAAATGAAAAACTAACAATCTAATAAAATACATGTATAGCTAGCCCTTTTTATTTGCTTTATATTGCCTACCTGACCCCTGTGAGAATTCAACAGCCATCGCAGTTCTCTCTCTTTGCATCATTGCTTTAGTTGTTGTAAAATTAAACTCCGGTGTGTTAGGGATGCAATCAGTCATCTCTTTTGCCATCTAAAAATGAATAGCATTTTTAACAACTGATTGATCCCCATTGTCATTGAACCCCTACATGTTACCTTTACCACGATGACACCACAGCTACATCCATGTGGTGAGGGGGTTGTTATACCACACCTTTCCAGTTGATAGTTCTCCAATCGTTCCTCCTGTGTTTCTGACAACAGAGATTCAGGTACATCCTGTACATACATTTGTTACATCATTTTTTGACACATGCTTGATTACATTAGTAAAAGTTAGTTACTTTCATTTCTTAGCTGCTTTTTCAGAAGACTCCAGCTCCTTGGTGTTTTTGGAGGGGTCAATCAAAGAAACCTTTTCTTGGCCCATGTGGATAAACTGAAAGAGAAAATGTATTATTGTAATTCTAACTAAGATAAAATTGTATTTTGTCTTGTAATACAAACAAACCAGAAGGTTCCATAGTCAATAGTAGGTTACATAGTGCACCATTAACTTAGCTCCATCTTTCCTGCAGGAGTTTGGTATCCACAAAAGCTTTGGTCTGTTCTACGCCATGGGCACAGCTCTGATGACGGAGGGCTTGCTCAGCGCCTGTTACCACGTCTGTCCCAACGCCAACAACTTTCAGTTTGGTAAGACTTCACTGCTCTGCTCCTCTGTGCAGGGCTCTAAGAACAAACACGCATTACATTTCTTTTAACAGAAATACCTTAATATTGTACTGTCCAAAGTCTCAGAATGACACTGAGCGACAGTGGCTCAGTGGTTAGAGCAGTGATCCCCCACACAGAAGGTCAGAGGACCGATTCCCACGTGTGTTCCTAGGCAAGAGACTTGGTGGTTGACACAGATTGGCAGCTTCGCTTCCATCAGTCTGTCTCCAGAGCTACAATAGTATGTCATAATTATCTCTAATCTTGAGCAAATGTCCCCTCAAAAAATAATGAAAGACGACTCAGTAGTGCCACCTCAGACTCTGATTTTCAAGGGGCCATTGAAAAAATGAATGTAAGAATCTGAAACACAGAACAAAAAATAGAACATGTCAGGACATGACAAAAATGATATTATGGCCCCGCCCTATACCCAACAGGACGTCGGCCATATTGAACCAAACCTGGGAATGACAAAAGCCCACTTCTCCTCCCATGTGCAATTAAACATTTTCAGTTACATTTTGAATATGACTTTGGGTTTGGCCATGGTGAATTTTCAATGAATTGCACATTTTTTAGCTGAGCACAATGATATGACAGACATTCTTCCTGCCGTACTAAACAAAAAGCCAATGAGGACATATTTCTATTTGTAACCATGTTGCCATGGCAACATTCAGCATTTGTCACAGAAATACATGGTTTTTGGTTAACTGGGATGAAAAACATGTGTTTGTCATAGACCCCTGAAATTTGGTACACATATTCCCCATAACATTCTGTACAAAAATTCAACGAGAACATAGCTCTATCTCCAGCCATGCAGGCGGAACACTGCCAGAAATGGTCTCGTTGGAATGAATGGAGCAGTAACTTATATATGTAAAGATAAACGTATTTATGTATAGACACACATATATATGTATAAATGTATTTATGTATAAACACACATATATATGTATAAACGTATTTATGTATAGACACACATATATATGTATAAATGTATTTATGTATAAACATATTTATGTATAGACACACATATATGTATAAACGTATTTATGTATAAACACACATATATGTATAAACGTATTTATGTATAAACACACATATATATGTATAAACATATTTATGTATAGACACACATATATATGTATAAACATATTTATGTATAGACACACATATATATGTATAAACGTATTTATGTATAGACACACATATATATGTATAGCTAAACATATGTATTTATAGATACACATATATATGTATAGATACATACACTCATGTTCATTTTTTAAATGATTCACACCATGCTGAATTCTCCACATGCTTTAGTTGTATTGTTCAGCTGATCTCTCCTTGTGTTTGCAGACACGTCCTTCATGTACATCATCTCTGGGCTCTGCATGTTTAAACTGTACCAGAACAGACACCCAAACATCAACACCCGAGCCCACAGTGCGTGCGGCTGCCTCGGGGTGGTCGTCTACCTGTCTGTGCTCGGGGTCAGTACACAGCTGCAGCTTTCACATGGCATCACAACATTCTATAGGCAAATATTCTATACAAATGGGGGCACTGTGTTGATTGCACTCATAGTAAACGCAGACAAAAAAGTTTTAGGATTGTCTGAAAATTCAAGAAAATTTTTTTAAACTGATAAAAAAAAAAGTATTAAAACTTTCAGGAGCGGCCCCAGTCATCTTTTCTCTTCCCGAGAGACCACCGGGTCACCGGGTCTACACTTCTAGTTAGCTTAGTTAGTTAGCTAGTTAGTCTGGTCAGATTAAAATTAAAATCAGAATAAAGTCTAATTTGAGTGACAGAGCTCCAGATAGAGCAGTGCAAGCAGTTAGCATCACATCCCAAGGGAAATATTGATAGGTTGTAATGTCATGTGCATAACCTCGGTTACAACAGTAGTACATGAGGTACACTGTACAGACTCATTCTAATTGTACTGCTTTGCACATTTACAGGTTAAGGGAAACGGCAGCTTATGGTTTTGGATTTTTTTCACAATCATTCACATTTTGTCGGTTCCTCTGACTGCACTGCTCTTTGTCTCATGGGAAGGTAAAAAATCTACACTTCATATTTGTGTCATGCTCAAAATCATCAAAACTTTAAAGAGCTGTGATTATGCAAAATAGATTTTTTAGAGCTTTCTACCATGTTATAACATTGTTCCCTCATCAAAAACATGCCTGAAGCATTTTTAGTTGTCATCCATGCATGTTTGAGTAATCTAGCGAGCTATCCTGGGCCCTATTCTAACAGTTACCAGTGTCACCCATGCCCCCACACGACAATTCTCCATAAATATATAAAAATATGATATAAAATTGTGCACAGCAACTTGACAAATCTCATTCAATGTGCAGTAGTTTCAATAGCGGGATGCATGCTGATTGTGTGTTCTGAAGGGGAAGTGACTTAATGTATCCGATCTACATAATATATTTTGATACAATCTTGCTGTTAAATGTTAAATTATATGGTACTCTGTCATCTCAGTTTGTCGTTAAGCTTGGGGATACACCTATACAAACTAGGGAACAGTGGTCCAAACCAGAGTCCTGAACCAGTGGGGGCAACTCCGATTCAGGTCAGGGAGCGGTGTTAGGTGCGCTTTCCCCGGGAAGAGCCAAATGTGCAAGGATGGACCGCTCAGGACAACATATAACCAACTAAATGGGTTTTGCGCTTCTGTCTGGATGTTTTGCACCACCTCGGTACCAGCCGCACGGATCTCATGCTGAACCAGGACTAAACCAGGACTGAACCGAGGACTGAACCCAGAGGACTGAACGAGGACTGAACCAGGTCTAAACCAGGACTGAACTAAAACTCAACCAGAGCTGGGCGCCTCCCTCGGGAGGTGTTTCGGGCATGACCCAGGACATGCTGGAGGGACTATGTCTCTCAGCTGGCCTGGGAACACCTCGGGGTCCCCCCGGAGGAACTGGAGGATGTGTCCGGTGGTGAAGGGAGTCTGGGAGTCCCTGCTTAGACTGCTGCCCCCGCGACCCGGCCCTGGGATAAGCGGAAGAAAATGGATGGATGGATAAACCAGAGCTGAATCTGGACTGAACCGACGACTAAACCAGGACTAAAACAGAACTGAACCAGATCTAAACCAGGACTAAACCAGAGCTGAACCAAGACTGAACCAGGACTAAACCAGGACTAATCTTGGACTAGAACTTGGAAGCACCTTGCAGACAGGGTGGCGGCGCGATCGGGCGTCGGCTGTGTTTAGCCTCATGGAGCGTGGAGTGCTGCACTGGTCCTTACGCCCGTGGTCACCTGACGGTCTACATGGGTGTGTCTCCGGTGTTTCACCTCTGCTGATATCGCTTATATCTTTATTTTAGCGAATTTGTCTGAAGAAAAACCCACCACTTCAATCCAGGTTAAAAAAAGCATTGTAACGCGTGTTACTCACATATGTACCGAGTAAAAAATTAAATAATTTTCCCCCTGTAATCCCTTATGCAATGCATAACAGTAATTCGTTACTTTTAACGCATTACACCCAACCCCCCTCCCCCTCACCGCCGCCCACCGGACACTGTCACCTTTTTTTCTCTGAGGAGTTTGCAGGTTTGAAGTAGATCAGCCACGTCCACCGATTGTCGTGAGTGTGGCCTGGGTGCGCTCAGGTGTTGTAGCCCTGTGTGCCTCAAGTGTATTGAACCAGTGGATAAATTAAATATACCAAAACTGAACGGTTCATGTGGATTATTTGAAAGTGCAACATTAACGCAAGGAACAAACAGGAAAACACCTTGCGATGTCATGTAGTAATACAGGAAAAGCTCCACTGTGTTTTAATACTCCATACACCTTCACTTGAAACATTTTGATAATATCAGCCCTGGAATTGCCCATCTCTACTGAACTAAAGGTAAAAGGAGTTGAAAACTTGAAAACTACCTCTTCATGACATCACGAGGTGGAGTTTTGGTGATGTAGACAGACTATTAATAAAAGGATTACTCAAACATGTATGAATGAAACTAAACACAACACCTGATTATGTAACCACATTGTAACACCACTAAGCTTCCAAGAATCGATTTTGTGTAATATAGGACCTTTAAATGTGCACTATGTAACTTTTTGTTTGGGTGTCCATCACCTGCTTGTTTCTATGGAGATGTCATTGCTCTACCTGGAATGTTCCACAGTATGACATTAAACAGCTCTAGCTTACTTTTTTTTTTTAAATTACAAGTGGTTTTATAGCTCAGAAATACCTAGAAAAAACAGGTGTTCTGACTGTGAGCCAGGTCGCCTCTCCACAGATCTGGCCTGGTCTGGTTTGGTCTGGTTTGGTTTGGCCGTGGGTCTAAAACCAGGACTAAACCAGGTCTAAAACAGGTCTAAAACAGGTCTAAAACAGGTCTAAACCAGGTCTAAACCAGGTCTAAAACAGGACTAAAGCAGGTCTAAACCAGGATTAAAACAGGACTAAAACAAGATTTAGCCAGGACTTAACCATGCCGCATGGACCGTCCAATCCTCATGTACACCGCAAGGGTCATGCCTCTAAACCAGAACGAAAACCAGGACTAAAGCAGAACTAAAGCAGGACTAAAGCAGGACTAAAGCAGGACTAAAGCAGGACTAAAACAGGACTAAAACAGGATTTAGCCAGGACTTAACCATGCCGTGAACCACTGGGGACCACTGCTGTAAAACATTCCAGAAAAAGCAAAAGCATCTCCATAGAGAAAAGCATATGATGGATTCTCCACCAGAAAAGTTACACAATGCACCTTTAAGCTTTGTAAAGTAACACGTAATGGGGCAGGTAACGTCACAATAGGCAAGTTTCAGCTGACGTCACTGTTATTAAAAGCCCGCGTTGCATGCTGGGAAATATTTTGGTCGGAGGCAAGAAACAGGATAGCGGTCAAACACAGTGCGTAACCTCGCGTATTTATCCTCGATAATGGTAAATTCCTGCTGCATTATCGGATGCACAAATAGAAGCACGGTAGGAGGAAAATGTCTTTTTCATATTCTGAGTGAAAAGAACCGCTAAAGGTGAATTAAACGACTTTCAAACATTCGCAGAGCAAACGTAGAAGATCCTAACAAACCGTGGACTCCAACAAGTTCAACAACACATCGAGACTCTTGGAGGTTTTCATCTTTTCTGCTGTGAATGGCCCAGGAGTTTCCACCAAGTCATTGTGGACATCGCCCAAGTGAATATTTGTCCAGGTAGTTGGCGATTCTGACCAGAAATTTGGTTTGGTCCACCTTTTGTCGGGGTTGAAAAGGGTGATTTGGCTCCATCGATGCTTATGACCAATTTCTGGTCAAATGGTCTTGGGTCCTCTGCCGTTAGAGTGGATAAATCAATACCCTTTACGTGCTTTCTCACTCCGTCCGTCATTGAATTAGTGTTTCTTGCCGCCGACCAAAATAATTCCCACCATGCAACGCGCGCTTTTGTCAACAATGAAACTCGCCTATAGCATGGTTGTTTTTATGTAGTATTGTATTTTATTTATATTAAAGTGCACTAATGTCTGTATTGCTATTTACACAGATTGGAAAAGACTGTTTAAAGACCGCAAGCTCTTTGTACGTTTTTCAAATATTTAAATCAACCTATTTATTCCCCATTAAAGGTGGATTGTGTAACTTTTCTGGTGGAGGGTCCGTCAAATGGAAATGTTTTTTCTTGGTTTGGTTTGGTCTCCATAAAGATAAAAAGGTTTAATAGCATACTGTTAAACGTTCCAAACAAAGTTACAGGTCAGATCTGCGGAGAGGCAGCCCCACTCACTGTCAGAATGCCTGTTTTTCTATATATTTTTGAGTTAAATAACCTGTAACTGAATAAATGTAAGATAATGCTGTTTAAAGTCATACTGTGGAACATTTCAGACAGAGAAATGACAGATCCATAGCAAGGCCGGATTATCCATATGGGCCAGTGGCACCACATGACACAAACTTTAAATATATTTTTTGTTATGTATATGTTATACACTTGAAAATGTTAAATGACCATATATAACTCGTCATTAACACTAATTTCATCACAACAACAACAACAATAATAATGATAATACTGAACAAATCAAGATTACATGACCATTTAATCCACTTTCCCTCAATCTGTCAGTTGAGTCAGTCCACAAGTATGCGCAAGTGTGTCATTTTTTAAAAAAACGGCAGAAATGAAAAATGGACAGGCATCAGTGGAGTGGTTGTGCAAAGAGAAAAAACTAAAAAATGAGAGACTCCAGACGTCTAGCCACGATTAAAAATGTTCCAGTGATCGATAGTTTTTTTGTAAGAACATCAGGAACTACCTACATATTTATAGTTGGATGCTGTAAGTTATTTTTGTCTTATTTGCTGTGCTGATGTAGTTAGTACTTTTGAGGGAGGGGGAGGTGCACCTGTGAGGTATAGTGCCCACCACATTGGCATAATACACCTCTGATCTTAAAAACAAGCAGGTGACGGACCCCCAACCAAAATGTTACATAGTGCACCTTTAACAATAATCATATATTGCTTTTAATGAAATGGATTCCTTATCCTAGGATCCACTGGCTTTAGGTCTCCTTGTGTTTGGGATCATCAACATAATTGTGTAAGTACATTTCTTTTTATAATCCTCATTTTTAAGGCAAGACAAGTTTATTCGTTTAACTCAATTTATACACTAAGTAGTGGAAAGTGTTTTACACAATAAGAAATGCATTCAAATCACAGAGCTGCTTTAATCACAGGATTAAACCAGGACTACACCAGGACTACACCAGGACTAAACCAGGACTACACCAGGACTACACCAAGACTAAACCAGGACTACACCAGGACTACACCAGGACTAAACCAGGACTACACCAGGACTAAACCAGACTAAACCAGACTACCAGACTACACCAGACTAACACAGGACTACCAGGACTACACCAAGACTAAACCAGGACTACACCAGGACTACACCAAGACTAAACCAGGACTACACCAAGACTAAACCAGACTACACCAAGACTAAACCAGGACTACACCAGACTACACCAAGACTAAACCAGGACTACACCAAGACTACACCAAGACTAAGACTAACCAGACTACACCAAGACTAAAAGACTACACCAAGACTAAACCAGACTACACCAAGACTACTAAACCAGGACTACACCAAGACTAAACCAGGACTACACCAAGACTACACCAAGACTAAATCAGGACTACACCAAGACTACACCAAGACTAAACCAGGACTACACCAAGACTAAACCAGGACTACACCAAGACTACACCAAGACTAAACCAGGACTACACCAAGACTACACCAAGACTAAACCAGGACTACACCAAGACTAAATCAGGACTACACCAAGACTAAACCAGGACTACACCAAGACTAAACCAAGACTACACAAGACTACACCAAGACTAAACCAGGACTACACCAAGACTACACCAAGACTAAACCAGGACTACACCAAGACTAAACCAGGACTACACCAAGACTAAACAGACTACACCAAGACTACACCAAGACTAAACCAGGACTACACCAAGACTAAACCAGGACTACACCAAGACTAAACCAAGACTAAACCAGGACTACACCAAGACTAAACCAGGACTACACCAAGACTAAACCAGGACTACACCAAGACTAAACCAGGACTACACCAAGACTACACCAAGACTAAACCGGGACTACACCAAGACTAAATCAGGACTACACCAGGACTACACCAAGACTAAACCAGGACTACACAGAGACTAAACCGGGACTACATCAAGACTAACCAGGACTACACCAGACTACTAAACCAGGACTACACCAGGACTACACCAGGACTACTAACCAGGACTACACCAAGACTAAACCAGGACTACACCAAGACTAAACCAGGACTACACCAAGACTAAACCAGGACTACACCAGACTAAACCAGGACTACACCAAGACTAAACCAGGACTACACCAAGACTAAACCAGGACTACACCAGGACTACACCAAGACTAAACCAGGACTACACCAGGACTAAACCAGGACTACACCAAGACTAAACCAGGACTACACCAAGACTAAACCAGGACTACACCAGGACTAAACCAGACTACACCAGGACTACACCAAGACTAAAACCAGGACTACACCAGACTAAACCAGACTACACCAAGACTAAACCAGGACTACACCAAGACTAAACCAGGACTACACAGACTAAACCGGGACTAAACCGGACTACCGGACTACACCGAGACTAAACCGGGACTACACCGAGACTAAACCGGGACTACCAAGACTAAACCGGGACTACACCAAGACTAAACCGGGACTACACCAGACTAACCAAGACTAAACCAGGACTACACCAAGACTAAATCAGGACTACACCAAGACTAAACCAGGACTACACCAAGACTAAACCAGGACTACACCAGGACTACACCGAGACTAAACCGGGACTACACCGAGACTAAACCGGGACTACACCGAGACTAAACCGGGACTACACCGAGACTAAACCGGGACTACACCAAGACTAAATCAGGACTACACCAAGACTAAATCAGGACTACACCAAGACTAAACCAGGACTACACCAAGACTAAATCAGGACTACACCAAGACTAAATCAGGACTACACCAAGACTAAACCAGGACTACACCAAGACTAAATCAGGACTACACCAGACTAAACCAGACTACACCAAGACTAAATCAGGACTACACCAAGACTAAACCAGACTACACCAGGACTACACCAAGACTAAACCAGGACTACACCAAGACTACACCAAGACTAAACCAGGACTACACCAAGACTAAATCAGGACTACACCAAGAGTAAACCAAGACTAAACCGGGACTACACCGAGACTAAACCGGGACTACACCAAGACTAAACCAGGACTACACCAAGACTAAACCAGGACTACATCAAGACTAAACCAGGACTACATCAAGACTAAACCAAGAATACATCAAAACTACACCAAGACCATTCCAAGACTTTATCAAGACTACACCAAGATTAATTCAAGACTACATCAAGGCTACATCAAAACTACACTAAGACTACACTAAGACTATACCAAGACTACATCAAGACTACACCAAGACTAAATTAAGACTACACCAAGACTACACCAAGATTACATCAAAACTACATCAAGACTGAATAAAGACTACACCTGGACTACACCAAGACTAAACCAAGCCTAAGCCAGAACCAAACCAAGACCAAACCAACATCAAACAAAGACTAAAGCAGGACCGAACCAGAACCAAATCAAGACTAAACAAAGACTAATCCAGGACTAAAAAGGTGAAGTTACATGTCAGATCTATGGAGAGGCGACACCGCTCACAGTCAGAATGTGTCTAATGTTTAATGTGTGCTATTTAATGTCACACTATGGAACATTAAAGACAAAGCAGTTACATAGAAACAAGCAGGTGATGGACTCCCAACCAACAAGTTACACAGTGCAGCTTTAAGTCATGAGACAAACTAAACGTGTATTGTTTTTCTGACTGTTCTCACAGAGCTGTGACTGGAGCCATTGTGAGACCAACTGATTTTAGCTCATACGTTTTGTTCATCGCCATCTGTAACCTGCTCATATATCTCCTGTTTTACATCTTCCTGAAGGTAACGGACATTTTGAATGCTATCATCTATGGCAGGGGGCTTCAATTCAAATTTTGGTGATACTTTAATTTAGGGACCACATGTTAATCGCTAACTAGGTTGTAACTGGTATGTACTGGTTTCATACTATGCCTCAGTTAAGGGGCATGGTCTGGGGGCTGTTCTATTTTTTTATTCCTCTTCCCCCATATGCTCATGTTATGCTGCATTGTTTTCTCGCTTTGCAACCTGTTTGTCTTGTACATGTGAAGAAACTGACAAATAAAGGTATACTCATACTATTCAATATAAAACCAAAAATAAGAAAACAAAAAAAGCAAATGTTTTCTTCATTATTTGTCTCCAAGACCGGGACCAGAGCAGGACTGAGACTGAGACCAGCAGTCCGAGCGGTTCCGTGTCATCGTCTGTGCGCTGGTTCCGTGCGGGGAAAGCGAGAATGCACTGTGGACGACAGGTCTGGACGGGCTGCTCCGTCCTCCACACTCAAGAACCGTGGCTGGTTCCGAGGTGGTCCAAAAAAATCGAAAACTGAAAAAACATCTGTTTTTTTTATTTTGGTTTTGGAGACCAATAATGAAGAAAACTAGTTTTTTCGTTTTTTTTTTTTTTTTGGTTTTATATTGAAAAACAAATGAACGAATAATACACAGATTTCATTAGTTGGTATTTATCAAACACTTATTTATTAGTACACTAGTACTAAAACAAAAATGTCTAGTAGTAGTAGTAGTAGTAGTAGTTTTTTCTGTCATTTTGCAGCAGTACAAAACAAAACATAGACCACAACACCATGGATCATGACCAAAAGGGTTTAGGCAGAAGTAAAAAGTACTTTTAACGCCAAACCCTATGAAACAATGACAGAATTCTAAGAAAGAAAACAGCATATGAACAGCAAGTTTGCATTTACAATGTCACTTACTGTATATATAAGAGACAAAATATTAAAACAATCAAAACTGAATGTTATTACATCTTATAAACATGTTTAGTGGCAAAAAGAGGAGAGGAGAGCATGTTTTTATTAGAGAGAGTGGAGAGGAAGGCTGATGTTGAGACATGACAGAGTCAGGAGGAGCAGACTTAGAGAAATGATCAAAATAAATGCAGATTTGATGGCGATGTTTATGTCTAATAGCCTCTGAGTAGCATATCATAAACCACATGCTCCTTGTGAGACAGTGATTGGAGTCTAAATCATTAAGCCAGAACAATGAAGTCATACATATACACAGTATTTATCCATGGCTGGTTCACTGGTGACCTATTAAATGTATATGTATTTATTTACTATAAGTCATTTTTAACTCAGTGTTATATTTTGTGTTTTATGGTAACAAATAATGTTAATTTAAAGAGGTTATCAAAATCAGAGAGAATAAATAAACCAAGAATAAACCAAGATAAAACCAAGAGCAGACCAAGACCAAAGTAAGACCAAACTAAGACCAAACCAAGACTAAACCTGGACCAAACCATGACTAAACCAAGACCAGACCAATATCAAACCAAGAACAGATCAAGGCCAAACTAAGACCAAACCAAGACTAAACCTGGACCAAACCATGACTAAACCAAGACCAGACCAATATCAAACCAAGACTGAACCTTGACCAAACCAGGACTGACCCAGGGCCAAACCAGGACCAAACCAAAACCAAACCAACATCAAACCAGGACCAAACCAAGACTAAACCAACATCAAACCAAGACTAAACCAACATCAAATCAAGACTAAACCTGGACCAAATCAGGACCAAACCAAACCATGACTAAACCAAGACCAGACCAAGACCAAACCAACATCAAACCAGGACCAAACCAAGACCAAACCAACATCAAACCAGGACCAAACCAAGACCAAACCAACATCAAACCAAGACTAAACCAACATCAAACCAAGACTAAACCTGGACCAAATCAGGACCAAACCAAACCATGACTAAACCAAGACCAGACCAAGACCGAACCAACATCAAACCAAGCTTAAAGCAGGACTGAACCAGGACCAAACCAAGATCAAACCAAGACTAAAGCAGGACCGAACAAAGACTGAACCAAGACTAAACAAAGACTAAACCAGGACAAAGAGAATCGCAAATCAGGAGTCCATAATCAAAAATTGAATAGTGACTTAAGTGAACCATCCCATCCCCAAGTTACTATAATCCTGTTGTAACAATTCACCTGTTCTCGACAAGGGAAGAGCTACAACGCAAAATGAAGGACGCGGGAGGATCCATTCATGTCAGCGGGGTGAAACAAAGACACGCAAAAAAATAAAGTGCTTTTGGCCTATCCGGCTTTTATTGGCTTTGCCAGACACACACGAGAATGGCACATTAACAAACACCCTTAACCACCACCCCGCGCTCGAGCGCACCCAATCCCCAAAACCCAAACCCAAAACCCAAATCCCCAAATCACAGTGTACAACAAAATGCAGTCCGTTAGAAGTCCGCCACCCTTCACCAGAACCGTCCCGAGTGACTTTCCCCAAAGAGTTCCCAAAGTTCCCCACCCCCCGCTGCGCGGCAGCGTGACGCGAGTCAGTAAAGTTTGCGGCGTTACTCACGCCACCCGCGCTCCAGTTCCTGACGCACAGCCCAGCAGCTCCCGTGGCGAAATGAGATTCCCGCACGATTGGAAAAGGCAATAATCCACAAGACAGGCAGCGATAATATTCCGATAGCGTGTTTCCACGGCACAGACAGCTCCTGGCAGGCGTCCAAGTTGGTGTGTGACGTCACACCTTTTGCACGTGTCCGCGCGCGCGTCCCTCCCCCTTAAATCCCCGTGCGTCCGCAGAGGGCGCAACAAACAGTCTGATATGGCCTAAATAATAATGCCACATACATATAAAGGACCAGACACAACAGATACTGTTAACAAATAAGCATTTCACCCAACTGAATGAACAGATAGGTGAGGACCTAAGTGGTCTTTACACTGTAAAAGAAAATAGTTAGAGGTTTAATACTGCAATGAGTTTAGACAAAAATGCATTAAAAATACTTTATAAATACTAACAATGATGTAATTAAACACTTATTATGCATTTTACTATAAGTTAGTTATTAGTAGGTGGTCCCTAAACTGAAGTGTTACCAAAATTTTCCTGAGGGCCAGAACATTTCCACATTGCAAAACTTGAGTCCACAAAACACCAGTTGAATTGTTTGTGTATTTTCAGTGGTGGAATAAAGAGAGGTTCACCCGGCTGGCCATCTTCTGTATCGTCTTCGCTGGGATCGTTTGGGGGTTCGCGCTGCACTTTTTCCGCCAGCATCGCAGCTCCTGGCAGGTCAGTTTGTCACCCACAAAGCAAAACAACATTTTATTTGAAAAAGACATACTATGCTGTTTTTTTTTTTAGGTTTAGTATTAAAAGGTGCATTGCGTATCTTTTCTGGTGGAAGATCTGTCAAATGCTTTTCTGCACTGAGATATTATTACTTTGTCAGGGATGTTTCACAGTGTGGCATTAAACCTTTCTATCTTCACTGAGACCAAACCAGACCAAGTTACAGGTCAAATCTGTGGGCAGGTTTTCCTAAGTGTTTTTGAGAAGTAAAACTATCTGTAATTGAAATAAAGTTAGTTATATTCCAGGCAGAAATTACATATCCATAGAAACAAGCAGGGGATGGCAGACCCTCCTCCAGAAAAGTTACACAATGCACCTTTAAAGAACACATATTATGCAAATTTGTACTTTTTGAGCTTTTAATAAATGCTATATTCTTGTATATACTGTTAGCAAAAACATACCCGGAATTGTATTTTGCTTAATTCACGCTTGCTTTATTAATCCTTTATTTAATCCAAAGTCGTCTTCTCTGAGCCTCAAAAAATTTTCTCTTTGCATTTTGCCAGTTTAGTTACGTCACAGGTAAAACATATATTAACTCTTGCGATTTTTAAACCCATAAACCATCAAAGGACTCATTCTGCAGTAAAATTGTGTTCAGAACAAAGGCATGGCTCTGGTCGTATAGCAGTCACACGGGATAAGAACTTCAGATGTTTATTTGCCGTTGTTCATTCCCTGACAGCAGCGGGAGCTCCAGTGCTTAAATGCCTCACTGGAAACAGAGTGTTGTTTCCAAATACAGACAATATTTTATGTGAAATGCTCATCTCATGGTGACCAAAAGTTTAATGTTTAAAAGAGAATTAGAGCCAAGAAGGGGTAGGATCTGGGGGAAGTGTCTGGGGTGAGGGAGGTCAGAGAGTCCCTGATTAGACTGCTGCCTCCACGACCCAGCTCTGGATAAGCTGAAGATGGATGGCTAAATGGAGAATGAAAACGCTGATACGCTGATGTAGGTCTATGCGCTGCAAAGTAATTCATCGCCAAAACACTAAGAGACTAGAACAGGGGTCTGCAACCCCAAATGCTCAAAGAGCCATATTGGCCCAAAAAAACAAAAACCAGACCTGCCTGGAGCCGCACAAAATGAAAAGCCTTATATAAGCCTAATATGAAGGCAACATAGGCTGTCAGTGTATTAGCTTTATAAGCCGACTATTCAAATGACTAAGTAGGCTACAAATACAAAATGAGCATTCATGATACACAAACCCCTTTTGCAACCCTCTTATACTCGGTGCGCCGTCTATAGCCACTGAAATCAGGTGGTTAGTGTTTATTCCTTTGTCATTTAGGCCCCGTTTACACTTACACGGGTATTTTTAAAAACGAAGACATTTCGAGTTTGTAGACCTACACATCGTTTACACATTAATTCGCCTCTGAAAACGAATCTTTCTAAAAACTCCAGCTAGAGTGGAGATTTTGGAAAACTCCAGTTTCACGTTTGCGTGTAAACTGAGATAAACGGAGTTTTAGGAGCTGACGCGCTGAAAGTGCGACCGAAGTTTACCTGTTGCTTTGACGACGATGATGGAAGCATTCAGAGCAGCAGTCGCATTTCTTCTGATCGTGCATAGGAGCACTCCTAAAACAAACCCAGAGCAGAAGCTCTGAACTCAGGCAGCAGCGCTAAACACATGGGAGCAGTCAGCGTGCAGCTCCTCAATACTGGGCTGTGGGTCCAGTGTTGATTGTCCGGAGGTTTCGTCCTCCATGTTCTGGTTCCAGACGGGGACGAGCAAGACCAGCGTGCAAAGGACTGGGTCCGAGTGCTTCAGTACCATCATCTGTGCGCTGGTTCCGTGTGGGAAAAGCGAGAATGCACTGTGGACCACAGGTCCGGGCGGTCTGCTCCGGTCCTCCGCGCTCGACTGCGGCTGGTTCCGAGGTGGTGCAAAGCATCCGGACAGAAGCGTGAATCCTGTTTGGTTCGTTATATGTTGTTCTGAGCGTCCGTCTGCGCACGTTTTTTTTTTGTTTTTTTTCGGGGAAAGCGCTTCTCAGGTGGAGGCACCGGACACCAACCCCCGCTTCAGCTCATCTGTTTGTTCTACTGAAACATTTTTCATGTGTTTGCATTTGCACACAGCTGATGGATCAGATCCATGACCAGAGATGAACGAGGGTTTTACCCCTAAAGAAACCAGATTAAAACAACAACCAAAAATATCATTCCTTTTCCATTTTCACTCTTTTTGAAAAAGCTCCAGGGAGCTACTAGGGGAGTGCTAAAGAGCCGCATGCGGCTCCGGAGCCGCGGGTTGCCGACCCCTGGACTAGAATATATGTTCATTCATATAAACCAGGGGTGCTCACACTTTTTCAGCATGTGAGCTACTTACAAAATGACCAAGTCATAAAGATCTACCTAATACAAAGCCAAGCAAACTGCACTGAAACACTCTGTGCCCCTTTTTTGGACCCTCCCCCACAGTTTGAGAACCCCTTCTTTAAGAGAACTTCCTCTGGCACTTTACACAAAACTGTGAAAAAAGTGAAGGAAGTAGGTAAGATTTTTAAACCTGTTTTTTAAAGTTCCAAACTGGAGTTGCATTCTTTTCTGGTTTTGCAGTGATATTTACCAGCCTCTGCACGTTTACCAAACCAAACGCACATCGTGACAAACACAGATGCATTTGTGCACTTTTGTTAGACAAACTTCAGCCAAATGTGGCAGTAGGTCTGTTCTGTAGATCCGCTCTATGCTGTAGACCTGCTTTGTGCCAACACTGGAACACAAATTTAGACTGGTTTTTGCTTCACGTTTGGTCTTGCTCTTCTAATCAGCCGCACTGTGGGAGGGGCTTGTGTTCGCTGTACGCAGGGCGAGGGGCGGCGTGCTGACGTGAGGCAGATGGACAGGTAGGATGTTTAGGAAGTTGAACCTGCCCTGTAATGCACGCTGGTACACGAGGGCACACGCTGTTGCAGACGAGCCGTGCATAGGGAGCGTCTGTATTTGTGATGCGCCGTAGAGTCTCCGCGGGTTTCAAATGAGCGCACAGGCTGCACTGAGACGCCTTGTGTGGATAGGGGAGGCTTGTGGACACAGAAACGACCTGTCTGGACGCAGATTGTTTCTGATACAGTGTGTTACGGCCCCAGGTCTGCAGTTCCTTGAGTTTTGTGTGTTTTAATTTCGTTATTGTTCCCCTGGAATCCTGCTGTAGGAGCCCCAGTCCCTGATTGGTGGATTACTTCTACACCTGACCAATCCTGCCTCACCTCCTGCCTCCTCCCCCTTATTTAAGGAGATCTGTAGTTTAGTTCTGTTTTGTGCCTTTTTTAATTTGAACACTCGATTCTGTTTGTGGATTTATGTTAGGGTGACCAAATGTCCGTTTTTCCCCAGACATGTCCATTTTCCATGTCCTGTTCTGGCCGTCCGGGTTTTTTATTTTTATAAAGTGACGTAAATGTCTGGGTTTTCATGATCTTTCATTGGGCCATTAAACTGAGCGTCTCTTGTGTCTCTCTGCACTCAGAAGGAGCGAGCAGACACAAACAGTCAGTCAGCCTGCAACATGCTGAAGCACAAATGCATATTTAACGATGAGTTGTACAAGAAATTCCCCGCTTTCCGTCCCGGTCAAGACAAGCGTGAGGCCATGTGCACAGTGTACAAAGCAGCACATATGTTTCGATGTCCTCAAAGCACCAGGACACTGAAAAATATTAAAAAGCTTTGCCAGGTGAGAGTAGCTCAATGTCGATGAAGAGGCCCCACCCCCAGCCCCTGTACGTGTCCTGGTTTTGACAAACGCAAATATGGTCACACTAGTTTATGTGGTTTAATCTGGGGAACTTGTGTTTTAGTTTTGTGTGTGTTCCTTAGTTTTACCACTTGTTTTGTGTAAGCCTGCGTGACCCGTTTTGTAGCACTAAACCGTTGTCTGTTGTTTTGTTTCTTAGTATGTTTTGTATAGTTTAATCTGTTTTGTTGATTTACCTTTACATTCCTGTTAATTAAACATTACTTCATTTATTCCATTTTTCCATCTTGTTTTATTTTTGTTACTTCCCTTACCCCAAGCGAGCTGGGTCGTAACATGGTGACATAGCCTTAGGTTGAAAAGTTTACTTAATGTTTGGAAATCATGATATCACGCTAGGGAATTCTATCTAACTGTTCCCAAGAAATCTCCTTATATTTATTCAATTTTACATTAAGTTTTTCCCAGAAATTAATATTTGATGGATAAAAATGCAAGAAAATTTCAACAAAATAAATGCGCTAAGTTTAAAAGTATGAGAAAAATGTGTCTTGTGTGTAAATTGTGCCAAACTTTTGGGTAGAATTGGTGTTATGTCTCTAAAATAGAACTCTACGTCCTGAAATTGGACATATTTTTAAACTTTTCTTTGCAAATGACTTCTAAAACTATAATTTACAGGTTTTGTTCTACCAAATGAAGTAAAAAATGGAGAATCATCAGAACCTGTCATATAATACATTTCTTTTTTCCCGTTCAGAAAACTGCAGCAGAGTCTCGGGAACACAACAGTGACTGCATGGTGTTGTCTTTCTTTGACACTCATGACGTCTGGCACTTCCTGTCCGCCATCGCCCTGTTTGGATCTTTTCTGGTATGAAGTTTCAAAACACTCTCTGTGGAGGTACATAGGTTTAATGACATATTGTGGAACATTACCGATAGATAGAGACATGCACATCCAACACAAATTGTGACTTCATGCTGGGTCCAAAGACTAAAATGGTACAAAAAAAAGAAACAACATGGAACATTAACGGCAAAGCGATAACATCTCCATGGAGACAAGAAGGTGGCCGACCCTCTTGGAGTTACAGTATATATGTGGAGCCCTGTTTTCTACTTTTTTGTGTACTACTAAAAAGTTTTAGTACTGAAAGACACCTTTACTTCAAACTCCACCACATTACATTACAGAACTGAACTTTTAGCACATTTAATTTGAGTTAACATGCTAACTTTGAACTAACAAAATATGATACACAAAAAAGGCTTAAAATTTTATCATTGTCATTTTTTTTGTTTTGTCATTTAAAATCTGCAAAATTCTTTACCAAGATCATTACATTTGACATACCAAATTTTTCGGACTATAAGTCGCTCCGGAGTATAAGTTGCACCAGCCAAAAAATGAAGAGGAAAAAAAAAAAAAAAAGTCACACTGGACTGTAAGTCGCACTTTTTGGAGAAATGTAATTTATAAAATCAGAGACCAGCACCAGGCATTTCATCATGAAAGACAAGTTATAGTAAAAACAACAGAATAGAGAACAACAGACTGAACAGGGTTAATATGTTAATGTAACATATTAACAGTTATTCAGATAACTATAGCATAAACAACAGAACATAAGTTTACCAAAGTTTCCATCTCACTCCAAATCACTAAACCCACTGAATTCTTCATCCTCTGTGTCACTTCTGTGCAACCTCCGGAGGTTAACCGTAGATCCATGAGGTAAACGGAGCGCTGCTTCCTCTTCTGTGTTGCTGTCATCAGACTCAGCATCAGTTCCAGTTAGAATTATTCCAGCCTTTCTGAGTCTCGACAGGATGGTTTCATTGTCATTGGAGTCCACGCTTTGTCCATCCATCCAATGACTTCCAGGAAAGTTGCACCGCGGACCCGCCCCGTTACCATGAAGCTGTCTTCTCCATCCCCTCTTTCCTCCGGTCCCTCACAAGATTCTCGCTCTCTCCAAACTTACCATTTTGGGCTAAATATTTCACTAACTTGCAACAGGACAGTGGCTTTTTCTGCAGGAGACATGTGCAGTAAAGAGTGAAGTGACAGTGGCACAGGAGTAAAAGAAGCAGCAGATACAGACACACAAGCCTAGAGCCTCTCGCTGCTGTCAGAGTGAAAATTTAAATTAAGTCGCACCGGAGTATAAGTCACAGGAAACACCCAAACCATGGAAAAAAATGCTACTTATAGTCCGAAAAATACTGTATATATGTTATGTAATATAAATACTTTCTTCTGTCTTCTCTCGTAGGTCCTGCTGACCATTGACGACGGCCTTGACTCTGTCCGAAGAAAAGATATCAGGATTTTCTGAAGTGACCTCATTTGAAACAGTTTGCAGTGGTCCTAAGTTATTCCTCACTTACCTTATGCATTCTGAGCATCCTAATTATTCACCAACAACAACTATCATGCTAACTGCTTGCTTCTGGATGATCTGATATTAAAAGCAGACTTATTTTGACATATATCTGTACTGAGTCAAGACACATTTTGCTCAAATACATCAGGTACAGGCTCTTTAAACAATGCTGTGAACTATTTGCCTGATCACTGCCATCTTGTTTTTTAAAGGTCCCATATTATGCAAAATTGACTTTAAGCTTTAAGCCATGTTATAATGTTGTTACCTCCTTAAAAACATATCTGGAGTTGTGTTTTGTTTCATTCACACGTTTGAATAACCCTTTAGCAAGCTCAAAATGCTCTGTTCCAGCTTGTGATGTCATCAAGTGGTAGTTTTCAAGTTTACAGCTATTTTTACCTTTTGTTCAGCAGAGATAGACAATTCCAAGTGTGAAATTATCCAAATTTTTCTAGTGAAGAGAAGTTGTATGGACATACCACATGACATCACAAGGTGGAGTATTTTCGCTTTGAGAAAAGAACTAAGAGCCTAAATATGGAGGGTTTGTATGTTAAACATATGTGAATGAAACAAAACACAAGTCCAGGTCTGTTTGTGATGAGGAAACAACATTAGAACATAGATCTGAAAATAGCATCATATGAGCCTTTTAAATATTTACTCAACGCCTTAACTCATTGTTTCCCAAAGACTGGGTTGTGACCCTCAGGTGGGTCGCAAGAGATTTTTTTGGGGTTGCCTCATAAGTGTGTAGCACTCTCCTCCTGCACCCCGGACTGGAACACGCTACAAAAACGTAGACAAGCCCATCTATCCCATCCATCTATGTTAAGACATGTTGTGTATCATTTCTAATCTTTTTGTAATTATTTTATTGACTATTTTGCTCCAATAATGCTGATTCAACTGAATGTTTAAAAGAAAAAAAAAGGAAAGGATTTATGAATGATGTCGATTGACTAGGGTCGCAAAGGTTTGTGACTTTAAAAATATGGGTCCCCAGAAAAAAAAGGTTTGGGAAACACTGCCTTAACTTGATCAACAGCTAACCTGACTTAAATGACACCAGCTCTATTATAGGAAACTCGCGCATTTTTTCATCACACATGAATTCATATTCTTATTGCAAATTTGCTGTAATCACTGAGTAGTTACTGAATAAATGTCTCTTTTTCAGACTTGTGAGTTTGTAAATTGTTTCTTCGTGAAAGGATTAGCTTCAAAATAATATAAACCTACTTAAAGGTGAACTATGAATATAACCTGATTTAAGAGGATTAAAGTGTGTACGACAGGTTCTGAGGATTCTCTCATTTTTCCTTAATTAGGTGGGATATCTTTTGTAAATATAGATTATAGTTTTACATGAATCAGTAAGTATTTGCCAAGAAAAGTTGATAAATATGCTGAAAATTGCAGGAAGGTGAGAGTTCTATATGGTCCTTTGGTTGACTGACTGGCCTGTTTAACATAATTTTGAATTAGAAAATAAACATATTTTATAATTTTGCCTCATGCATGGACTAAAGCTGCATTGCTTTTAGTTTGGAGGTGTTTTTTATGACATTTTTTGTAAGACAGCCTCACTTTTTCATTGTTTAATCATAACATAAACTCTTAACAGTTTTACCAGATTGCCAGAACAGTGATATTTACTGCTTTTTATAAAGAAATACAATTCATATTATGCAGAATTGAGTTAAGCATTTTGGCCAGGACCTCCACAATATTTTCTGTTTCTCATGTGGCCCCATGGAAAAAAGAACTGACCGTTATTATGATTTTATTTGTCAAATAATAATTTCTGTGTATGCATCATAAATGTGGTGTGTCCCATTGAGACAGGGGGAGGTTGTTTGGATTTGTCCATAGGCTAAGACCAGAAAAATAGGACACGCCTCTCTGGGAAGTGAGCGACCAGTAAAAATAATTCAAAAGACACTGGATATTTAAGTTTCTGTGACTGGTGTCATATATTGATAATGCAATGCGAATAACAACAAACAGCCAATATATATACAATATTAGAGATGAGACAAGATCTTGTACCACAAAGTCTCGCGAGACAAAATTGCCACAAGATCGTACACACATGATGATCACAAATGATCTTGTGAGAGATTTTTTCCCCTCTGAACTTACCTTTACCTTAGACAAAAAAGAGTTCAGAGTTGGTGAGTTATACAATTTGAAAAGTTGTAGTTCAAAAAGTAGTTCAATGACAATTAAAGCTTTACATAAAATAAATACAAATAGTGAAGCCAAAATTGTGAAACGGGTTGCATTACTTATTTATTATTATTTTTCTCGTGGACCTAATCTCGTGGTGTGTCTTGTGCAAATTATGTCTCTTTCCATCCCTATATAATAATATATCTTCATATAGTTAGATCTGCAGATTATTGTGATGAAGACTGATTATTAGCTTAATGGTTTTAACTCTTAAAGGGCCCATCTCATGCAAAAACAACTCTTTTCACATTGTATCTTCTGCACATATACAAGCACAATTTGGGTTTCAGAACATCCATTACACAATAAATCTCCAACAAATCTTAGTGATTTGTTGGAGACAGTCACAGACCAGGAAGGCCGACTGTCACTCATCCCCCCGCCCGTCCTGAGAAAACACAGGCTCCGCCCTCCAAACGTGACGCAGGCTCTGAGTGAGCCGCCCTTCTGTATTATATCGTGTTCACTGCAGTGTAGAACAATGAGCTTATGCTGTCGCTTTTGTTTAGGTGTTCATCTTTATGACAGTTTAAGACATTATTAATTGATAATATATTTGTTCTGTTATGCACAAAAAGTTGTTTAAAAATGTTTAAATGTATAATTCACCTGGCTTTATAATTCTTAAGTTTCGCTTGTGTATGGTGCCATCTAGTGAACACCTTTGAAACTGCATGCAGAGCATGTACCGAATAGAACTTTATTGAACAGTAGTAACAGTTGAGAACAGCAGACATTACAGCACGCAGTTGCTTTCTGAGTCGGCAATAATGTGAACAGGCGACTACTAAACATCAGTGGTCGTAATGACTGGGGTGTAAGGTGTAATCACCATTTTGTTATCGTGTAGAAGCAGTGAAGACAACTCACTAGAATAAGAAGTAGGCTATTTTGTTAGCATCAATGTAATATCGTGGGACTACGTAACGTTTGTCAAACTAAAACAGGTAGAACAAGGGAGATGACCATGCAGATTGAAATTATATATAGATATTATATAGATAGCATATTTTAACCTTAGACTATATTATATATAAATGGATACACCTACCGTACTAGTTCCAAATAGAAAGTGAACGTGCAGCTCTTCCAGGTCCTGCTGACCCTGGCTCCTAGTGACTTACACTGGAATATTGTGGCCCCTGTCCCTGTAACTGCTGCTGTGAACCTCGTGAGGATATACAGCATTCTACTGCTCGGGGTTATACAGACTCTACATCAGCGAGCCTACAGTTCATGTGAGTACATTTAATGCTCTGCAGATCTCTGTAGTTTTTTGTGCCTTTTTATCTTCAAACAGTTAAACTGAAAGAACTGTACAGTTTTAAACGATTGTACAAAGCAGTGAAGCGGCTTCTTGTCTGAAAAATGACTACAGTGAATGTGGAATTTAGACCTCAAGAGCAAAAGATTTATCAAATAAGATGAATTTGTGTTATAAATTATTTTCATAAAAGCCAAACAGCACATTCTTCTACAAAAGTTTAATGCCACACTGTGAAACATTCTAGACAAAGCAATAACATCTCCATGGTGTATTTGATGAGCCTCCACTGGAAAAGTTACACAGTGCACCTGTAGGAGCCGTACGTGTGTGTCCTTGGATCAACTTTCTGTTTATCGTGTTTTAACTGGAAAGATTTACACGTAGAAGCAATCGGTGCATGTTTACGGACCGCAGCAACTTTGACGTAAGTGCCGGTACGCGTATGCTCACCGTATATATGTGCATTAGTCCCAAGTTACGCGTCCACAGTGTTATATCCCGTGTCTGAGCCTGTCGCGGCGTGTGGGATAAACTTTAGATACATGCGCCACAAAAGCATCTTTAACGATAACAAAAACATGCATATTTCTGTAATGACTTCACGCTTGGCTTGTGAAGTCAGGGATCAGAGCTGAGGATCACTTTTACACAGGAATCCACATGACCTCAGACACATGGAATCAATAAAAAATAAAAATAAAATAAAGCTAAATTGGCCCCATAGTCAAAGCAAGAATCTTTAAAGGTGCATTGTGTAATTTTTCTGGTGGACGGTCTGTCAAATGCTTTTTAACCATGGAGATGTTCTTGCTTTGTCTGGAATGTTTCACAGTGTGGTATTAAATCTTTCTATCTTCATGGAGACCAAACTAAACCAAGTTACAGGTCAGATTTGTGGAGAGGCGACCCCGCTCACAGTCAGAATGTGTGTTTTCTAGGTAAGTTCAGGTGGATTTAAGATATAAAACCACCTGTAATACATGCATCCCGAATTTCGGACTTCCGGTCATCATGCAATGCATACTGGGAAAGATCCTCCAAAAAAGTGAGCATCAAACCGCCATGTTTGATTTCCCAGTGGGATGTGTCTATTGTCAAAGCCAGTCTTTTCAAGTCTTTTGAACCATATCACTTTTGTTTCTGGTTCTGATATTGTCATATTTTAGTTTTGGGATTCGGACATCGTAACTGTGTGGTTGTTGGATGTTATAACAGCGGAAAACAGGATTTGGAAGTTTGCCAACTCCATAAATGCAAAAGGGAATCAGATCAGTGTGACTGCAAACCTCTGTTCAAACTGTTTCCCTTTGCAACGGAATTGAAAAATAGTGAAAGGTGAAGACGATGGGCAGGATTGATCCACAGGAAGGACCAAAAAGGAAACCTTTGACTGCCTAAGAAATCATCCTGAGTTTGCAGTGAACATTTTGTATGTGCAGCGCCAACAAAGCAAAATCCCGATCCCTCGCACAATCTTGGTTACGAAAAGTCAAAGCCAAAGTGAAAGGCACCAGCTGTTCTCCAAGAAACACCTTCCACTGCAAAGCGACCAAGACGTGATGTTGCTGTAAAGTCAGTCAAACAAGAAAGTGCAGCTCAGCCTGTTTGTCTTCTGCACCTCTCACTTAACAAACGGGATTTTACTTTGATGGTGCTCCACATACAAAATGTTCACTGCAAACTCAGGATGATTTCTTCAACAGTCAAAGGTTTCCTTTTTTGTCCATCCTGTGTATCAATACTGCCCATCACCTTCGCCTTTCACTATTTTTCAATTCTGTTGGGAAGAGAAACTGTCACATCTGGAGCAGAAGTAGGACCCAAAATGCAAAACTGCATTTCCAAAGTTGTTTAATGAACAAACACAAAATTCAAAACAAACATGAGACATAATGACAATCAACCAACAAAGGGCAAAGGAGAACACAGGGTATATATGCACACACATGAATGAGACACAGGTGAGGCACATTAGGGCGGGGCAAACAGTTAATACAACAGGAAGTCAAAACACACTCGGCTAGAGAAATACAAAATAAAACTGGGTCAAGAACAGTAAATTAATTCAATGAAAACTGACACCATGACAAGAAACAATTTGAACGGAGGTTTGCAGTTACCCAGATCTGATTCCCTTTCACAGTTATGGAGTTCACCAACTTCCGATGCCCATTTTCCGCTGTTATAACATCCAACAACCACACGATAACGACGTCCGAATCCCAAAACTAAAATATGACAATATCAGAACCAGAAACAAAAGCGATATGGTTCAAAAGACTTGAAAAGATCAGCTTTGACAATAGACTCATCCCACTGGGAAAACAAACATGTCAAACATGGCGGTTTGATGATTCACTTTTTCGGAGGATCCTTCCCTGTTTGCATTGTGCGACTGCGCAAGTCTGAAATTTGGGAATGATATACAGTATATATTGAATAAATGTAAGGTAGAGCTGTTTAATGTCATATTGTGGAACATTCCAGGCAGAGCAATGACATCTCCATAGAAACAAGCAGGTGATGGACTCTCCAACAGAAAGGTTACACAATGCACCTTTAAATAAAAATTAGAGAATCAAACTAACTTACTAAAGATAACAAAAACCTTCATCTGTGGTGAGTTCACACTTGGCTTGTGAAGTCAGGGATCAAGGCTGAGGATCATTTTACACAGGA